GCGGGGTCAGGTACTCCAGGGGCGGCGCCAGCAGCTCCTCAGGCGCCGGGGCCGCGGGGCTTACGGAGGAGGTGGGCGGGGGGATGGAGAAGAGCTCCGTGAAGTTGGGCACTGAGTCGCTGATGAATGTCACATTCCCATAGACGTGCTGCGGAAAGGCCTTGTCCGCCGATTGGCTGCCACCGGGTCCCGGGGTCCCGGCAGAGGCTATCTGTGACGTGCGCACGTGGTACGGGAAGTTCTTGTTGGCCGCTGATGGGCGAGTCATGATCTGGGGCAGGGGGCAGGCACAGGTTGGAGAAGCCCGACGCCCCCCGAAGCTTCTTGAGTACCTGGCTCCTTTCCCAGGCTGTTTCCATAAATTTCGGCACCTCAAAAGTACTCTCTAGGTAGGCTGGGGATTTAGCTCACTGGATCCGCTGCCTGCCTGCCTCCCAAGTGCAAGGTCCCAAGTTAAAACCCCCGGTACTAAATAAATAAATAAATAAATAGTGCTCTCTGTTTAGCAGTGTTTGGTGGTGCTTGCTCAGCTCTAGGAAGCTGAGGCAGGAGGATTGCAAATTTGAGCCCACCCTAAGGAATTTAGCAACTTAGTGAGACCTTGCCTCAAAATGTTTTCAGAGGGGCTGGGGACAAGCTTGGTTGGAAGGCCCCTGGGTTCAACCCCCAGTACCCCCCCCACACACAGAGAAAGTGTGCCCTCCACTTGACATGGCCCCCAACATATTTCCCTGCTGCCATTCAAACCGGATTAGGTGCCTCCTCTGGGCGGTGGCTGTGCCCTGGGTTTTGACCTTTCCCCTCAACACACCTCTTACTACTCTGCCTATCAGAATCCTGATCACTGGACAGTCACTGACTAGTTAAGATCCTCTTCACATGCTGTTCAATCTGATGGCCACTAACCACATGTAGCTTAAAATTTTTTTTCTTTTTTCTTTTTTTTTTTTTTTTGGTTTTTTGGAGACAAGGTCTCACTATGTAGAGACTGACCTGGAACTCACTATGTAGCCCAGGCTGGTCTCGAACTCACGGCGATCCTCTTGCCTCAGCCTCCCGAGTGCTGGGATTACAGACAAGTGCCACCATGCCCGGCTGTAGCTTAAATTTAATAAAAATTAAACTAAAATTTTAGTTTCTCAGCCACACCACCCTACTCACATTCATGTGCTCATTTGACACTAGATAGGGAGGTACAGGTTATAGAATATTTTCATAAACACAGAAAGTTCAATTATCAGTGAATAGAATGTTAGCTCTCTGAAGACAGGAACTTGATCCTCCTGTTCCCTGTTGAATCTTCAGTACATTCTGCTCTGAGCCACACTAGGCTTCTCCCAGCCCCTTTAATACTGTACTGGGGATTGAAGATAAAGCCTTTGCACTGAGCTACATCCCCAGCCCATTTTTTCTTTTTTTTTTAATCCCAGGGATCGAACTTGAGACCTTACACTTGCTAAAGCAGGCAGCTGAACCACTGAGCTAAATCCCCAGTCCTCATTTTTCAGTTTTTATTTGAAGATAGGGTCTTGTTAAATTGCTAAGCCGCCCCAGCTGGGCTTGAAGTTAAGATCCTTTTACCTCAGCCTCAGAGTGCCAGGATTACATGTGTGGGCCACATGACATCCTAGGCTGGCACTTTTAGGAAGAAGCTGGCTGAAGGGCACTGCGTTTGGGTTGAGCCTGCATCACACCTCTTGGCTCCATCACTCACTAAGCATGGGATCTGGGGCACATTGACTAAACCTCCTAAGCCTCAATGGCTGCCAAAATGGATTGAGATGCCTGTTTGGAAAGATGAGAGGGTAGAAATGAAAGGCATTGGTGCAGAACCTGGCTGGCACCTGGTGGGTTCTCAGTATTTCTCTTCTTTCTGTCTCTTTCAAACTTCCTGCAGATCTCCAAAATGTACTGGCCAGGGAAGGTGAGTGAAACTGTACCTAAACCAGGCTCTAAGAGAGGAGGTGGGTGGTACCTTCCTTGGGCTTCTGAGTATTTTCCCTGCAATTGGGCTCATTATGGTTCCCTGGAGTTAGAAGCCCTCAGTGATGCCTGTTTCCCTTTCTGGCTCCCCCTTATGTGACACCTTGTGGTAGACCAGAGAAGGATGCAGTTCAACATGCCCTGTCCTGCCACCAAAGGCCATGGAGCCTTGGCAGGTCCCTGCCCCTCTCTCGGCCTTAGCTTCCCCTCTACACTGCTATCCATACTGTCCTGCGGCTGCTCTGAAAATTGAAAAAGAGTAAGGGTAGATGCATATGAATATTTCTAGCAAGAAACACACTATTTCAAGGTAGGAGTCCAGAGAACAGTGGATGGATGGGTGGATGAATGAACTGTCCCCAAGAAGGTCAGACAGGACGTGAACCAAGATAAAGAACAGATTTGATGCTGAGACCCTCCTGATACCCAGGTCTGGACAACACTCTTCAGCTCTAGGCCACCAGGAGCCACAGACTGCCCCATCCCAATAGCTTCTTCCTGAACAATGACCTGTGATGGGAGAATGTGGGGGGAGGGCTTGGGAAGGCAGTGGGGATACAGAGGGAAATGTGAGAGTCTGGGAACACAGAATCAGGAATGGAAACAGGAACGGGGCAGGGAAGAGGATGGAGGTGGGGGAAACAGGCCAGAGTGTAAAGTGGGAGAAAGGAATAGAAGAATAGAAAAGTGAGGCCAGGGATTTAGCTCAGCCAGCGGTGCTGCCACCACCTGCCTCAAGTGTGATCCCCAGAGAAGAAGAAAAAGAAGAGGAGAAAGAGGAAAGAAAGAAGAATAGAAAAGTGTGCTCTAGCAGCCTGTCTGTATGCTATATGTATCTCCCCGCACCCAAACACAAACACACACACACTGGGGATTGAACGCACAGCCTCACATGCTAGCCAAATACAGTGTCTTCTGAGTGATTAAGGGGAGATGAGTCAAGAGCTCAGACTAGGATGTTCAGGCAGTTCAAGAATAGGAGCCTTGTGCATCTTCCACCCTTTGGTTTCCCACCCAACTGGACACCTGTCCTTACCAGGAACACGCCGTGGGCATACAAGTGAATCCCCAGCTGGATGCCATTGACAATCTTCTCCCGGGCCCACTTGGGGATCCCGAAATTGGCAATCAGGGCCATGACAGGGACCGCAAAAAACCTGCACAGGAGATAATTGGGTGGATAGAAACTGCCTCTGGCTCCATTCCATTCCACAGCCCCACCTCCCTTGCCATGCACACAGCCCAAGACAGGTCCCAAACTGAAGCCAGAGGTTGAAACAGGACAGGAATCTCGCTGGACTGGGAAATTCTAGGGAGCAAGGACTAGGTTGAATTTAACTGGGTTCTACTACACCCCAAATCCTGGCATCTAATAGGAAATGAATTGATGTTTGATGACAGAATTAACAAATGATAACAAGGAATTATTGCATGTTGGGCCTTCTTTCTTTCTTTCTTTCTTTTTGGTTTTTTGAGACAGTGTCTCACTTTGTAGTTCAGACTGCCCTGGAATTCACTCTGTAGCCCAGGCTGGTCTTGAACTTGCAGTGATCCTCCTGCATCAGCCTCCTGAGTGCTGGGATTACAGGCATGTGCCACCGTGCCTGGCTTGCCAGGCCTATTTTTAAGACATATATATTCACGTAACTCTCACAGTGAGTCTATAAAGCAGATAGAATTTCATCCCCATGAACGGATGACAAGACCAAGGCAGAAATTAATGGACTTGCCTGAGTTTGCAGCATTTTATAAGCTTTACAGCCCCATATATGGCCCTATGCATGCTCAAAAAAGCCCTTTGCCAGAGATACTACTGACAGCCTTATTTTGTGGGCAAGCAACCTAGAGGTACTCCGTGAAAGTAATTTTTTTCCAGGGGTGGGGATGGAACCCATGGCCTTTATTCATGCTACACAAGCACTTACCACTGAGCTATATTATCACCTGTTTTGGGTTTTTGTTTTGTTTGATTGGTTTGGATTTTCTGAGACAAGATCTTGCTATGCAGCTAAGGCTGGCCTTGAACTCAGCCCAAGCTGTCCTCCATCTTATGACAATCGTCCTGCCTCAGCCTCCTAAGTGCTGCGATTACAGGCATGTACTACCATATCCGACTCTTGTTTTGTTTTGTTTTTGAGACAGTGTCTTGCTATGTTACCTTTCTATGTTGGCCTGAAATTCATGATCCTCCTTCCTCAGCCTCCCAAGTAGGTATGGTTACAGGTGTGAACCACTGTTCCCAGCTTAAAAATAATTTTTGGTGGGCTGGGGATTTAGCTAAGTGGCAAGAGCAAGGCCCTCAGTTTGATTCCCCAGTACCACAAAAAATAATGATAATAATAATAATAATTTGGGGGCAGGTCAGGAGGCTGAGGCAGGAGGAGCACCACAAGTTCAAGGGTAACCTTGGCTACACAGTGAGTTCAAGGCCAGCCTCGACTAGGCAATGAGATTTTCACACTGAGCTACATCTCTAGTCCTTATTTATTTAGAGACAGTCTCAGTAGTTGCTAAATTGCCCAAGCTGGGCTTGAACTTGTGATCTTCCTTCCTCGGTCTCCTAGAGTACTGGGATTACATGCATGTGTCACCAGCCCTGGCTCTGAAAGTAATTATTAATTCTCATTTTTTAAAATTTTTCTTTGAGGGAAAAATGTTTTTAAACTAGGTAAGTGGTAGATTCTGAGTGACAACTACCTGACTGGAAAGCTTGTCTTCTCTATAGAGGAGGGTCTGAGTTCGGGGCATAGAGAGGTTGGGGGCCCACCACATCTCACCAGAGGGTATAGGCAGCAAAGAAGGGCACGTAAAAGGGCTGCTTCTCAGGGAAGTGGCGCAGGGAGATGAGCACTGCGTAGCAGAACCACACGTAGGCCGCCACCTGCAGCCCGATGAGCCCATAGCCGGCTGGAGATTCATATGTATACAGTACCTGGCCTGGATCGAAGAACTGGACCCACAGCACAAGGTTAATCATAGCACTGGCCTGCTGCCCCAGCCCCCACCACTGGTTACCCAGGGAGCAGAGTTATTGGGTCAGAACAGAAACATCAGGGGAGTTGGGGATGGAGATAGAAGCATATAGAGGTAGTGAGGACAAAAAAGCTAGGAAGAGGCTATATCAGCTACCTTGTGCCCAACACAGGGCCAAATGCCTACCATGTGTGAACTTTTCCATTAGCATCAACTCCACAGCAAGTCTCGCTATTTTCCTCTTCACAGGGGAGGAAACTGAGGCTGAGAAGGAAGGCCTTTGGCCAAAGCCGTAAGGTGACATAAAGCCTCAAAGGAGCCCCTAGGGTGGGTAAGGTCCTTCTGATTTTCAAAGGAGGAAAAAGGTTTGGTGGGGGGGTCATCACCCAAAGTCAGCCAGCTAGGAAGTGGGACAGAAAGAGTGGAATCCAGTTCTGTGTGACACCTGAACTCTTAGAACACAGGGCTTCAATGTGACAGACAGTGAGAGGCGGAGGGAAGAGGAAGAAAGCTACTCACTGACAGGAAGGCGGAAACTCACAGCTCGGGAGAGAAACCCAGGAGGACAACAGGTGGGAAAGGGCAGCAGCAGGCAGGTCAGGGAGGAGGGAACCACCGAAAGCCTGGGAAAGGAGCGGCCTAGCAGGGGTGGGACTCACTTTGGCCTCATAGATGAGCAGCACCACGTGGGTGAGGGTGTACAGGGTCATGTACACAGACAACTTCACAGAGCCTGAGTGGCTGATGCGGCCCCTGGCAGCAGCCCATGAGAGGAGACAGCAGGGGTGGAGGCCGTCAGGCAGGAGGGCGTGGTCACCCCCACACCCACCCACCCGGGCCCCGCTCCCCGCTCCCCAGCCCAGCCACCCAAGGGGCACTCCCTGCCCGGGCACCGTGTCACCGTGAATCCCTTCCCCAGAAGGATGAGCATGAGCAGAAAGATGAGGAAGCTGGAGGAGAAGAGCAGCTTGGCTGGGGAGGAGAGCACGGTTCAGATACGGCTCGGAGAGTACGGATCTCCCACAGCCCTCCTACAGCCCTACTCCGTTCTCACCCAGGACCTTCATGCTTTCGTTGCCGATACCATCAGTGGCATATTGACCCCAGTAGATGCAGAAAAACAGGAGGCTCAGGACTGGCGGGAAAATGGGCAGAGAGGTAAAGGACAGAAACTAGCGGTGGGGAGGGATCACTGTCCTCTAGCACTATGGCACAGATGAAATGAACCCTACTTTGCCTGCATTAGGACTCCAGACTCTCTGCTCCTACTTGCTAGATTCTGGAGTCCACTGCTCCTAGTACCTCTGTCTAGACCTGGGCGTCCAGGCCCAGCCCTCTTCCCTCAGACCTGAGTCCAGGCCCCCAACCCTCATCCCCCAGGACCCAGGGGTCCAGGCCCAGCCTCTTCTCTCAGACCCAGGCATCTGGGTTCCAAGTCTCTCCTCCCACAGAACTCAAAAGCTGGGTAACTCTAACCTCACCTTCCACTCCTGCTGCAGCCATGAACATTTTGTAAGTTGTGTGGAGCAACTGACGACCTTTCAGCAAATCTAGGAAGCCATCATATAAACATTGTTCACAGAAGGTAGGGCAGCATATTTCCCAAGCTTGCACCCACATATCTCATACCCCCCAGCACTACATGCTGGACTCACATCCAAAGTAACAGGAGAGGAAGAAGATGAGGATGAAGATGAGGAGGAAGGTCACATCTGTCTCCAGGATCCCTAAGATTTGGTGGAAGGAGGAAGTAGTCCACTGAGTGGGTGCCCTCAGCAGGCCCCAGTTGAGATACTGACAGTAGCTCACCAGATATCTGCTCACCAAACTCATCAGCCGAGAAGTGTCGTGTCCAGAAAGATTTGCCATTGGTGAGGACCATCTCATATTCCAGCTGCAGCCCATCTCCCTGTGGGCAGTGTAGAGGCCTAAGGAGGGCCCTAGGCAGGCAAGGGGGTTCGCAGAAAGGCAAAGGAGAGAAGGATCAGGTGGCCCCCCCAGCCACTTACCCCACACTTGCTGAGCGCAATGTACCACCACCTTTCGCGCACAGAGCGGAAGCTTCTACCACTGGAGCAGCTCAGGTAACGGGTTCCCTCCTCTGACACCACCTGGGGAAGAGCCAGCAGAAGGCTGACGTCTGTCCTTATGCTGCCAGGCCTGCCTGCTTCAGCACCTGCCCGCTCCCCCGCACCTGACAGCCTGACCAGGCATACTGGGTGGTGAGGTTGATGACCTGGTTGTTCTCTGGCCTGATCACTGACTCCTTGGCCAGGCAGTCCTAGGGAAGGCAGAGACGGGATCACTCCCTGGCCATCAAGGACCTTCTGTTCCCTCCCCATACACCCTCCTCACAACCCTCACCTTTTCCCCTGCTTTGTACACAGCTGGCCACTGGGATGGGTCATCAAAATAGAGAAGGATGTTCTGACAGCACTTGGCCTGCAGACCCAGAGATTTGGGGATTCGAGGGATTGGGGAGATGGCTGGAATAGCCCTTGCCCTGAGAGGCCAAGGGAGTATCCAGCCTCATCTTGGGACAGTGGTTGGGGGAGACTCACCTCAGGATAGCGGAAGCGGAAGTCCAGTCGGCCGTAATCCGAGAGGAAACAAAATCTTGTCAGGAACACCCAGTCCTGGCAAAGGGGTCCAGTCAGACCCTCTTCCAAGTCCTTTGAGAACTCTCTTGGACTTCAGAGACCTTCAACTTTTCTTCCCTACTCTGAGGTACTCGGCTTCCCAAATACCCCGAGGAGAGCAAGCCACTTCCAAAATTCTTTCCAGATCCCTTTGCCGTGGGTCCAGGACCCCTGCCATCCTGATTATTTCCCCGAGATATCCACCACCACCACCACCACCCCAACCCCCAGTTAACCTCCCCTCCTCTCAAACACGCCTGCCTCCATTTTTCAGGAACCCAGAGAAAGACCCTGGAGAGCCACGTGCCCATCTTAGCCACCTTCGGTCCCAGCACCTTTCCCACCCGCATCCCCCCAGGTGTACGCACACACCTCCGCCCTACGGCGGTCCCAGACACCATCCGCGCTGGGGAATCGTCCAAACCGGCCTCGGCCCGAGCACGCGTGTGACACTCGGGCTCTCTGCGGCGCGAAGAGTACTGTCCCTTCAGCACCGTCTCGGCCTCGCCCCTCCTTCCGCCCCGCTCTCCCAA